TTCACCAATATTAAAATATGTATTAATTTGAAAATGGCTATTGATGAAGGTTTCTGTGTCAAGGTAGGTAACTACTATTCTTTAGGAAAAAATGTCACTGCCTTTAAAGAAGAACACAAGTATCACTGGAGGAATGACTGCACAGAGTGTGGAAAATCTTAAATTATAGTTTTCTTAAACTAGGTAGGACTTCTGCACGGGTAACAGATTATATAATAGAATATGCTTAAAGATAAAAGTCTTTTTTAAAAAAGATAAAAGTCTTATCACCTCAATGTCTCATCTTAAAAGAAGTTAATTAACATATCTTGGATTTGCTTCAAAATAATGAGAGAAGGAAATATATATTAAACAAAGATGGTCTTTGTTGATCATTGTTGCATTTGGGTGATGGGTATATGAAGATTCAATAATAAGGCTCTCTGCTTTAGTATAAAATTGAAGTATTCCATAATAAATTTCGTGAAAACACTAAGTATATAGGCATCCGATGTAAACAAAAATTGGGGGCTATTATATAACTGCACTTTTGAAGAGAGAGATATATCTTCTGGAGATAAATTGGATTCAAGACTAAAATGCCAGACTGCAGTTCCACACGGAGACTCTGGGCGCCGCTGTCGGCCAGTGCAGGGCGAGCGCTGACGGCCGGCATTCTTCAGCTGTAGCCTGGGATTTCCTGCGCAGCAACCAACACACAGAGAAGGAAACCGGCTACCACAGTGGGGCTCCTGGCCGCGCAGACTCTCTTCAGCACGAACGGATTCCCAGCTCTGTCCTGGGACGAATGCTCTTCCCGTGACACTGTGGCTTGCGTTTCTTCGGCTTTCCGGAGAGACTGGGACCCAGCGAGAACTAGAGCGCGCGATGGGAGGGAGCTGCGCGCACAGACGCGGGGCCGGCCGGCCGCAGGTACTGTTTCCCTTCCTGCTGCTTTTGTTCTACCGCGCGTTCTGCGAGCCGATCCGCTACTCCATTCCTGAGGAGCTGGCCAAGGGCTCGGTGGTGGGGAATCTCGCCAAGGACCTAGGGCTCAGTGTCCAGGAAGCGTCAGCTCGGAAGCTGCGGGTTAGCGCAGAGAAGCTGCTTTTCAGTATAGACAGGGAGAGCGGGGACTTACTGGTGAAGGACCGGATAGACCGCGAGCAGATTTGCAGAGAGAGGAGAAGATGTGAGTTGCAGTTGGAAGCCGTGGTGGAAAATCCCTTAAACATTTTCCATATCATTGTGGCTGTTGAGGATATTAATGACCATGCCCCTCAATTCGATAAAAAGGACATACATTTAGAAATTTTAGAGTCTGTATCCGCAGGTGCACGAATATCCCTTGACCCTGCCACTGACCCCGATATAAACATGAACTCAATTAAAGACTATCATATAAATCCTAACTCTTACTTCAAGTTAATGGTTAGAGTTAATTCCGATGGTGGTAAATACCCAGAGTTATCTTTGGAAAAACCCCTAGACCGGGAGGTGCAGCGGTCTCATCGCTTGATACTAACGGCCTTGGACGGAGGGGACCCGCCACGAAGTGCCACCGTTAGAATAGAAATTGTTGTCAAAGACACCAATGATAACCCCCCGGTGTTTAGCAAAGATGAATATAGAGTCAGTGTAAGTGAAAGTCTGCCCCCTGGGTCCTCCGTGTTGCAGGTGACAGCCACTGATCAGGACGAGGGGGCCAATGCCGAAATAAGCTACCACTTCAGGAGCACTGCTCAGAGTACGAGGCACATGTTCTCACTGGACGAGAAAACAGGCCTGATTAAGAATAACCAGTCATTGGATTTTGAGGATATGGAAAGATATACCATGGAAGTGGAAGCAAAGGACGGAGGTGGGCTCTCCGCCCAATGTAAAGTAATAATAGAAATCCTAGATGAAAACGACAACAGCCCAGAAATAATCATCACGTCTCTCTCGGATGAGATTTTGGAGGATTCCCAACCAGGAATGGTCGTGGCCCTCTTCAAAACACGGGACTGGGATTTCGGAGGAAATGGCGAAGTCATGTGTAATATAGAAAGAGACGTTCCTTTCAAGATTTACTCCTCTTCTAATAATTACTACAAGCTAGTGACAGATGGGGCCCTAGACCGAGAACAGACTCCAGAATACAACGTCACCATCACAGCCACCGACAGGGGCAAGCCGCCCCTCTCCTCCAGCACCACCATCACCCTGCACATCACTGACGTCAACGACAACGCCCCGGTTTTCCAGCAGTCAGCCTACCTGGTCCACGTGCCAGAAAACAACCCGCCCGGGGCCTCCATCGCGCAGGTCAGCGCCTCCGACCCCGACCTGGGACCCAACGGCCAGGTGTCCTACTCCATCGTGGCCAGCGACCTGGAGCCACGGGCGCTGTCGTCCTACGTGTCCGTGAGCGCGCACAGCGGGGTGGTGTTCGCGCAGCGCGCCTTCGACCACGAGCAGCTGCGCGCCTTTGAGCTGACGCTGCAGGCGCGCGACCAGGGCTCGCCCGCGCTCAGCGCCAACGTGAGCCTGCGCGTGCTGGTGGGCGACCGCAACGACAACGCGCCCAGGGTGCTGTACCCGGCGCTGGGGCCCGACGGCTCTGCGCTCTTCGACACGGTGCCGCGCGCCGCGCAGCCGGGCTACCTGGTCACCAAGGTGGTGGCGGTGGACGCGGACTCGGGACACAATGCCTGGCTGTCCTACCACGTGCTGCAGGCCAGCGAGCCTGGACTTTTCAGCCTGGGGCTGCGCACGGGCGAGGTGCGCACAGCTCGTGCTTTGGGCGACAGGGACGCGGCCCGCCAGCGCCTCCTGGTGGCCGTGCGGGACGGGGGCCAGCCACCCCTCTCAGCCACCGCCACGCTGCTCCTGGTCTTTGCTGACAGCCTTCAAGAGGCCCTTCCGGATCTCAGCGAACGTCCTACGCCCTCTGACCCTCAGGCTGAGCTGCAGTTTTATCTGGTAGTGGCCTTGGCCTTCATCTCAGTGCTCTTCCTCCTGTCCATCATTCTGGCGATTGCCCTGCACCTTCGTCGCTCCTCCAGTCCCTCCGTTTGGGGTTGCTTTCAACCTGGTTTCTGCTCCAAGTCTGGACCTGTGGTTCCCCCCAACTACAGTGAGGGAACATTGCCTTATTCCTACAATCTGTGCGTTGCCCAAGCTGGAAAGACAGAGTTTAATTTCTTAAAATGTACTGAGCCCTTGCATTCCGCTCAAGACATAGTTTGTGGTGATTCTTCTGGGCCCTTAATTCCACTTCAGAGTGGGAATGATTTGACTTCGCATCCTGAGACCCTAACACCGGTGAGTTTCATTTCTGTGTCTTCAGTAATATTCTACTAGTTTCTCATATTTCAGGTGTACTACTTCATTTTTATATCTAGAATAATTTTTAGAAAATCCATAACCAATCACCATCTTGTCTTCTCAATGTTCACTTTAGCTGATTATATTTTTCAAGATTTTTTACTTGGTTCAGAAGTTGCTCTATAATTTAAAAAGAATGTTACTCAATTAGAGATATCTTTTCAAGCTGAGATTAGCAAAACAGAGACAGTGGTCTTGGCTTCTTACCAAATAAATACATAATAACCTATCCAAATCTGCTAAGATTTAAGATAAAATATCTATATCCTACTTATATGTTTTTAAAGTTTAATAATATTCAGGCACTTGTTATCTATCAAAGCATGTGCTCCTTCCAAAAGAACATTTATTGCATACAATCTTATAGGTGTTTTTAGATTTCTTTTTTCACTATTTTAAAAATTTATGAAACTGTAAGCATTTGAGAGGTAGGGTGAGCAGATCCATGAATTCCTGAGATAATATGCGAAGTTATAGATGTATGATGTATTTTTCTTGGGAGAGGTGTCAAAATTTTGTTTCCATTGCCAAGGTTTCTATGGTCCCCAAAACTTTATACTAACTACCCTGGCTGAATTTTTTTCTTCAACTTTGGTCCTTCTGGCTTTCTTCTTATATTTACTTGTCTTTTCTTGGAGCTCCAGTTGTACTCTTTTCCAATCTTCTTTCCTCTCCATTGAAAGATCAAGAATTTCCAAGAAAGCAAATGAAATGCTCTTGCCTTTTGTGTTCAGACTCTGTCTTGGATTGTCTGGTACACAAATCTTTGAAGACTAAAGATAAAATCTTTAATGACTAAAGATAAAATCTATGAAGAGTTACATATGTGGGACATAGTGACATAAACACTTCTGAACACATGTTCTCTGTATGAAAGAAGTGAACCTCTAAGCCCTTCACCTTTGAAGGGAGAACTGCTGTTGGGTTGATGGGCACATACAATTGGGAAAGTATGTGTAGCACTTTACTTTGGGCTCCCATACAAAATGTTAAAAGAAGAGAATATTTAAATTGGCAGCAGTGCCCTGATGAAAACAGGCCATTTGACATAAGCACTTATTTTTTAAACACCTACATCACTATTTCTAAGTTTGTTTTTGAAAATTGTAGCACTTGAAACTCCTGTACATATATCTCTTCCAATTACAATACAGACATGTCCCCCTTAGTTTTTTATTACCTTCTCAACTTATTTAAATGGGTCAAACCCACTTCTAATAATGTATACCCCAAATAAGATACATTAAAAAGATTAATTGAGGCTCAATAAAACTACTTTAGAAAACAACATTTTGAAAACCTTTTATACAATCTTAACACTAAACAAACGTAATTAGTTAATTAAATCTAAAATAAAAAGATTTTAAGTGAATTGTTAGGGGCATATCTCAGAGTTTCTATATGAATGTCTAAACAATTGGATTGTTTAAATCTAAATTTAAAATGAAATTGTAAGACTTCTGAATATTTTTAGAAGCTCATATGAGATAAAATAAGCATTACTTACCTCTGGATATATTTCTGTTGAGAAAATAAGTGTTGAGATACATATTTAACGAACTATTTTCACTTCGCATTTTATAGTACTTTCATTCCAGTTTATTCTATCCAGTAAAGAAAGCTACTAATAGTTTATTTAATGATATCAGCCAAGAAATCAAAGAAGTAATGTAAAATAAAATAAAATCTCCAACAAGAGTAGCGTTTGTTTTTTATGGTATACATAGCGGGTGCAGTAACTTCTGAGGACTCTGGGCGCCGCTGTTCACCTACTAGGAAAGAATCGCAGCCAGCGCTCCGTCCGGATTCTCGGGGCTCCAACTACACAAAAGCTCCACAGTTCCTACAAACCGGCTCCGGGGCTGCAGCGACACTCACTCTAGAATTTAAGGTGCTCAGCCTACAGAGACTCCTTGCAGCCAGAGGAAGAAAAAGGGACCGGTCAAAACACGCAACGTGTCCAGTGAGGACATTGCCAGAATTCCGTGACCAAACAACAATGGCCGCTCAAAGGAATAGCTCCGACCGCTGCGCGCTGGTCCTGCTCTGCCTTTTTCTCGGTGCGCCGTGGGAGTCTGATGCCCGGCAGATCCGCTACTCGGTGCCTGAGGAGCTGGACAAAGGCTCCTTCGTGGGCAACATCTCCAAGGATCTGGGACTGGAGCCCCGGGAGCTGACGGAGCGCGGAGTCCGCATCGTCTCCAGAGGTAGGACGCAGCTTTTTGCTCTGAATCCGCGGAGTGGCAGCTTGGTCACGGCGGGCAGGATAGACCGGGAGGAGCTCTGCGCTCAGAGCGCGCGGTGTCTGGTGAGTTTTAACATTCTTGTGGAAGATAGGGTGAAACTTTTCGGGATAGAAATAGAAGTAACTGATATCAACGATAATGCCCCCAAATTCCAAGCGGAAAATCTAGACGTAAAAATCAATGAAAATGTCGCTGCAGGGATGCGTTTTCCTCTCCCGGAAGCTGTTGATCCGGATGTGGGCGTGAACTCCCTACAGAGCTACCAGCTCAGCCCTAGTAGGCACTTCTCCCTAGCAGTTCAGAGCCGTGCCAATGGTGTCAAGTACCCGGAGCTGGTGCTGGAGCGCGCTCTGGATCGGGAGGAAGAGGCACAGCACCACCTGGTCCTCACTGCCTCCGACGGGGGTGACCCTCTCCGATCTGGCACTGTCCTCATCAGTGTCACTGTCTTCGATACAAATGACAACGCACCTGTCTTCACTTTGCCTGAATACCGAGTGAGTGTTCCAGAGAACTTGCCTGTGGGCACACAGCTGCTGACAGTCACTGCTACCGACAGGGATGAAGGAGCCAATGGAGAAGTGACATATTCATTCCGAAAATTACCTGATACACAATTACTGAAATTCCAACTAAACAAAAATACTGGAGAAATAAAAATATCAGAAAATCTAGATTATGAAGAAACAGGCTTCTATGAAATAGAAATACAAGCAGAAGATGGAGGAGCATATCTTGCAACTGCAAAAGTGTTGATTACCATAGAAGATGTAAATGACAACAGTCCAGAAGTGACCATCACATCTCTGTTTAGTCCCCTGAAGGAAGATTCACCTCTGGGGACTGTTATAGCTCTTTTAAACGTGCACGATCTAGACTCTGGGCAGAATGGACAGGTCACCTGCTCCATAGCAGGAAATCTACCATTTAAGTTAGAAAAGTCCATTGACAGTTACTATAGATTGGTGACACATGGGGCTCTTGACAGGGAGCAGGTATCCTCTTACAATATTACTGTAACAGCCACAGATGGAGGAAGTCCACCCCTGTCGATGGAAGCTCACTTCACCCTGCAAGTGGCAGATATCAATGACAATCCACCCACCTTCTCTCACATATCCTACGTTACCTATATCCCAGAGAACAACCCAAGAGGTGCCTCCATCTTTTCAGTGACTGCACTAGACCCTGACAGCAAAGAGAATGCTCAGATTATTTACTCTCTAACTGAAGACACTATCCAGGGGGCACCTCTATCTTCCTATATCTCCATCAACTCTGACACAGGAGTCCTGTATGCACTTCGCTCCTTCGACTATGAGCAGTTTCGTGACCTACAGATGCAGGTAACTGCCACAGATAGTGGTAACCCACCACTCAGCAGCAATGTGTCTCTAAGTCTATTTGTGCTGGACCAGAATGACAATGCTCCAGAGATCCTGTACCCCTCTCTTCCCACCGATGGTTCCACTGGTGTGGAATTGGCACCCCGCTCTGCAGAGCCTGGTTATCTGGTGACTAAGGTGGTGGCAGTGGACAGAGACTCAGGCCAGAACGCCTGGCTGTCCTACCGCCTGCTGAAGGCCAGCGAGCCAGGGCTCTTCACGGTGGGGCTGCACACGGGAGAGGTGCGCACTGCACGGGCCCTGCTGGATAGAGACGCCCTCAAGCAGAGCCTGGTGGTGGCAGTTCAGGACCATGGCCAGCCCCCTCTCTCCGCAACTGTCACACTTACTGTGGCCGTGGCTGACAGCATCCCAGATGTCCTGGCCGACCTGGAAAGTCTTGAGCCTTCCAACAACCCTGACCACTCCAGCCTCACGCTGTACCTGGTGGTGGCAGTGGCTGCTGTCTCCTGTGTCTTCCTTGCCTTTGTCATCATGTTGCTGGCACTCAGACTACGCCGCTGGCACACATCTCGTCTGCTCCAGGCTTCAAGAGGCGGGTTGGAGGGCGTGCCCGCCTCGCAATTTGTGGGCGTGGATGGGGTGCGGGCCTTCCTGCAGACCTATTCCCATGAGGTCTCCCTCACTGCTGACTCTCGGAAGAGTCATCTGATCTTTCCTCAGCCCAACTATGCAGACACGCTCATCAGCCAGGAGAGCTGCGAGAAAAAGGATCCTTTGTCTTTGTTAGATGATTCGAAGTTTCCTATAGAAGATACCCCTTTGGTTCCAGTGAGTTCTATTTTTACTCCTTCCCTTTCATTTAAAAAATTATGATTGGTTTTGTTTTTAGGTTTGCAGCATATCGATGGGAATTTTTAATCTGTATTCTTTCATATTATCTATTTCGATTTGCTTTTTGCTAAAATATTCCAGAGTAGAACTTGTCAGTTATTAAGACTATGGCTTTACTTTCTGATAAACATATACGTAATGGCAATGAAGATCTATCATCATAAGATTGTTACCATTAGTTTTGCAGAGCTTTATCTTTTATAGTTTTGTGTGCTGTCCTTTGGTCAGATGCTGAAATCCTAGCTCTGATTTTGAAGGCAAGTCTGGTAAACATAGGTAAATGTCAGAAACAAATGCATTGACATCACTGGAAACATAACTCAAACACAAGGCCACTCATTTCCTTCCCAAGGAGAAGGGCAGAAGTACACCTTTGTGGTTATATTCTTTAAACTATACCTTGTAATGACAATCACAATTGAATTTACTTCCTAGAGATTTAGATTTTTCATCAGTATTTTATAAGAAATCATAACAATGTGTGCTTAAATTTTCCCAAGTGCAATCATGTCTGGTAACATTGCAACATCTTTTTTTGCCTGAGATTCTAATTTCATACCATAGTGTGGAAGACATAGCATTTTAATTTGACTTTCCTTGCTCAATCAGGTTTCTAGAAAACATATAGAAGGTTAAATTATGCACATTTTTAGTTCTTCTCTCTCTCTGTATTATTTTTTTGGTTAAATTCTCCAATCTCTGAGGCTGAAAAATATATAGAGATTGGGGAGACAGATGGGTTGTACATGTTCCCAAGGGATGTGTGCCAAGAGTATTTCAGTAGCTCCTGAATGTAGTGGAAGAAAGAACCACCTGAAACTCTGAAATTGAGCGAAAATAAATTTAAAGTTAAAAAAATGTTATTTCTGTAGGCTATCTGATCCGAATATAAGCAGAGAAGTACACAAAATTATCCTAAGCAAATTATCAGTGGAGTTACTGATGAACCTATTTGGATTATTGAAGATAGTGATGTATTGGTTTGATCTCTTACGTTTATTACTAATATTCTTCTAAATTAATATGTTAGCATAAAGGCAAAGAGTGTCCTAATATATGTCAACATACTTATGAAAACATTACTTTTTCATGTCATTCAACATTTATTCAATGATAGGTGTGTGGAAGGAGAACACAGGATGAAAAATCTAAAACTTTTGGGCCATAGTTATTAACCTTTAAATCATTGAAACTGTCACTTAAAATTTCTGTCCATGAGAGTCAAAATTATTATGCAGCCACCTCAAATAATTCTTTTATCTAGAAAAATACTGATTTTTAAAATAACTACTTTGACATGGTAACTATTGTGAGAAAATGTTTTTAAATATAATTACTTAAACACAGGACACTTCATATTATTGTAATCAACATAGCAATGGTTGCGTACTAGTTACTAAATATGGAGGGATGGATTAATACTTCCTAGCGAATATAAACTAGGATCGAAGACAAAAAAATGTGGGTTTTTTGCTTATCTTCAGTATTTGCCTTTGTAAATAATTTACTCTTAAAAGGAAAAACAATGATTGCCTCTGGATGGAAGAACTGGATAACAGTAGACCATGAGATAGAGACCTACTTTTCACTTTACAATCTTTTGTTGACTTTTGAAAGAAATACTTTTATCTTTTCACATTTATGTAAATTTTTAAAATATAAAAATACATAGTTTTGACTATAGGAAAAGCATGTTTCATGATGAAAACGGAATCACTGAGGAATAAGAGTCAAATATTTTAGCTCCTAACATTGAAAGAAAAAGATTTCCTGAAATGGAGAAAACTTAGGCTGCGGTTCCACACGAGGCCTCTGGGCGCCGCTGTCGGCCAGTGCAGGGCAAGAGCCGACGCCCGGGAATCCTCAGCCTCTAGCCTAGAATTTCCTGTGCAGCCACCAACACAGAAGGAAACCCGTTCACACACTAGGGCTCCGAGTTGTGCAGACTCTCCGAGCACAAGCGGATTCCCAGCCCCAAGACTGGGGACTCCGCCTGTCCTGGGCTGAATGGTTTTCCAGCGTGATAGTGTCCACTTTCTCCAACTGGAAAAACTGGGACCCAGCGAGAACTAGAGCGCGCGATGGGAGGGAGCTGCGCACAGAGACGCGGAGCTGGCCGGCTGCAGGTACTGTTTCCCTTCCTGCTGCCTTTGTTCTACCGCGCACTCTGTGAGCCGATCCGCTACTCGATTCCTGAGGAGTTGGCCAAGGGCTCGGTGGTGGGGAATCTCGCCAAAGATCTAGAGCTCAGTGTCTTGGATGTGTCCTCTAGGAAGCTGCGGGTTAGCGCAGAGAAGCTGCTTTTCAGTATAGACAGGGAGAGCGGGGACTTACTGGTGAAGGACCGGATAGACCGCGAGCAGATTTGCAGAGAGAGAAGAAGATGTGAGCTGCAGTTGGAAGCCGTGGTGGAAAATCCCTTAAACATTTTCCATATCATTGTGGTTGTTGAGGATATTAATGACCATGCCCCTCAATTCCATAAAGATGAATTAAACTTAGAAATCAGTGAATCTGTCAGCCCAGGAATGGGAACAATTCTTGACTCTGCAAAAGATCCTGACATTAATATGAATTCACTGAGCAAATACCAACTAAGTCCTAATGAATATTTCTCATTGGTGGTGAAAGACAATCCCGATGGTGGCAAATATCCAGAATTAATATTGAAGAAGACCCTGGACCGAGAAATGCAGAGCTCGCACCACTTGGTACTAACAGCCTTAGATGGTGGGGATCCGCCCCAGAGCGGCACTGCTCAGATCCGAATCCTGGTGGTGGATGCCAATGATAACCCTCCTGTGTTCAGCCACAGTGTGTACAGGGTCAGCATTCCGGAAGATGTGCCCCCAGGCACCCCTGTGCTGAAGGTGAGCGCCACTGACCAAGATGAAGGCTCCAACGCAGAGGTCACCTACTCCTTCCTTGGTGTGGCTGATACAGCCCGGCACGTGTTCTCTCTGGATTCTGCAACAGGAAACATTGTAACTCACCAGCCCTTGGATTTTGAAGAAGTAGAAAGATACGTAATGGATGTAGAAGCAAAGGACCGAGGATCTCTCTCTACACAGTGCAAAGTAATTGTAGAAGTTTTAGATGAAAACGACAACAGCCCGGAAATAATCATCACGTCCCTCTCTGATCACATTTTGGAGGATTCCCGTCCAGGAATGGTTGTGGCCCTCTTCAAAACAAGGGACTGGGATTCCGGTGAAAATGGAAAAGTCACATGTAATTTAAGTAGAAACGTTCCATTCAAGATTCATTCTTCTTCTAATAATTACTACAAGCTGGTAACAGATGGGGCCTTGGACCGAGAACTGACCCCGGAGTACAATGTCACCATCACAGCCACCGACAGGGGCAAACCGCCCCTCTCCTCCAACACCACCATCACCCTGCACATCACTGACGTCAACGACAACGCCCCGGTTTTCCAGCAGCCAGCCTACCTGGTCCAAGTGCCAGAAAACAACCCGCCCGGGGCCTCCATCGCGCAGGTCAGCGCCTCCGACCCCGACCTGGGACCCAACGGCCAGGTGTCCTACTCCATCGTGGCCAGCGACCTGGAGCCACGGGCGCTGTCTTCCTACGTGTCCGTGAGCGCGCACAGCGGGGTGGTGTTCGCGCAGCGCGCCTTCGACCACGAGCAGCTGCGCGCCTTTGAGCTGACGCTGCAGGCGCGCGACCAGGGCTCGCCCGCGCTCAGCGCCAACGTGAGCCTGCGCGTGCTGGTGGGCGACCGCAACGACAACGCGCCCAGGGTGCTGTACCCGGCGCTGGGGCCCGACGGCTCTGCGCTCTTCGACACGGTGCCGCGCGCCGCGCAGCCGGGCTACCTGGTCACCAAGGTGGTGGCGGTGGACGCGGACTCGGGACACAATGCCTGGCTGTCCTACCACGTGCTGCAGGCCAGCGAGCCTGAGCTCTTCAGCCTGGGGCTGCGAACCGGCGAGGTGCGCACGGCCAGAGCTTTGGGCGACAGGGACGCGGCCCGCCAGCGCCTGCTGGTCGCCGTGCGTGATGGGGGACGCCCGCCCTTATCGGCCACCGCCACGCTGCTCCTGGTCTTCGCTGACAGCCTGCAAGAAGCGCTGCCAGACCTCAGCGACCACCCCACGCCCTCTGACCCCCAGGCTGAGCTGCAGTTCTATCTGGTGGTGGCTTTGGCCTTGATCTCCGTGCTTTTCCTCCTCGCGGTGATTCTAGCCATTGCTCTGCGCCTGCGAAGCTCTTACAACCCCGCCACTGGGGGCTGCTTTGGGTCTGTTCTCTGCTCCAAGTCTGGACCAGAGATTCCCCCCAACTACAGTGAGGGAACTTTGCCTTATGCCTATAATCTGTGTGTGCCTGGGGATCAAACTAACCCGGAATTAAATTTTCTCACATCTGCCGATCATTGTCCAGCTAAACAAGATACTCTCAACAAAGATAGCTCATTAGCGCTATTGGCTGGCATACTAACTCCTAGTGTTGAAGCAAATAAGAAGACTTTTAAACAGGTAAGTAGTTAAAATAATGCTTTTTATATTCCAATATGCCAGTATATATCAATATAGTGCTTTTATTTCAAGATCCTATGTTCAATCTCTTGCTAGAGTTTCTAAAATAAATCCTTGGTCAGACCTATGAGTATCACTGTTAAGACTCAAGTTTACAATGCTGCGATCCTTCTAATATTCAAATGCATTTTAAGGTAGGTATACAGAGAAATCTCATGAAATTTTCATGAAATAGAATACCTTTTAATTAAGGATATGGAATACAGGTATATTTTATATAATGGTATTTTAAATAACCCTAATGCCATCCAAATCTTCTCAAATGTTTCATCTTTATTTTTCTCAATAAAGAACCATTAGTGCCGAAACCGGTTTGGCTCAGTGGATAGAGCGTCGGCCTGCAGGACTGAAAGGTCCCAGGTTCGATTCCGGTCA